ATACACAAAGATATGACAAGCACCTGAAATGGTCACTGTGTGGGAGGACACAAAAGGCAGGGTTTTTTCTGATTTTTAAAAGTGCCTGTAGTCCCAGTTACTCAGGAGATTAAGCTGGGAGAATCACTTGATAGGGGTTCAAGGCCAGCCTGGGCAACATGGCAAGACCCTGTCTTTAAATATGTATATATATAATCTATTTAAAAGACAATTGCCTAGGCCAGCTGCAGTGACTCACACCTGTAATCCCAACACTTTGGGAGACTGAGGCAGGCAAATCACCTAAGGTCAGGAGTTCAAGACCAGCCTGGCCAATATGGCAAAAACCCCATCTCTACTAAAAATACAAAAATTAACCAGGTGTGGTGGCGCACACCTATAATCCCAGCTACTGAGGAGGCTGAGGCAGGAGAATCACTCGAACCCAGGAGGCGGGGGTTGCAGTGAGCCGAGATCTCGCCATTGCACTCTAGCCTGGGCAACAGAGCAAGACTGTGTCAATTTTTAAAAAGGCCAGGCATGATGGCTCACGCCTGTAATCCCAACACTTTGGGAGGCTGATGCTGGCAGCTCACCTGAGGTCAGGAGTTTGAGACCAGCCTGACCAACATGGAAAACCCTGTCTCTACTAAAAATATATATAAAAAAAAAAATTAGCTGGGCGTGGTGGTGGGCGCCTGTAATCCCAGCAACTCAGGAGGCTGAGGCAGGAGAATCGCTTGAACCTAGGAGGCAGAGGTTGCAGTGAGCCTAGATCACGCCATTGCACTCCTGCCTGGGTGACAGAACGAGACTGTCTCAAAGAAAAAAATAAAATAAAATTGTCTCTACAGATGCTCCTCAGCTTACAATGGGTTACATCCAGATAAACCCATCACAAGTTGGAAATATTGTTAAGGAACATACTGAATGTGTATCGCTTTTGTAACATCATAAAGTTGAAAAATTGTAAGTTGAACCATTGTAAGTCAGGGACCATCTGTACATAGAGAACTCCTAACACGGAACAATTAAAAAAAATTCAAAAATGGGCGAAGGACTTGAGTAAACATTTGTCCAAAGAATATGTAAAAACAGCACGCACATGAAAAGATGCTCAACGTCACTGATTATGAGGGAAATGCAAATCAAAACCACAATGAGATACCACCTCACACCCATCAGGATAGCTATTATTTGAAAACAAAACAAGTGTTGGGGAGGATATGGAGAAATTGGAACGTTTGTGCACTGCTGGTGGGAATGTGAAATGGTGCAGCCAGTGCAGAAAACAGCAGGCAGTTCCTCAAAACACTAAACATAAGCCTGACACAGTGGCTAATGCCTGCAATCCTAGTGGTTTGGAAGGCTGAGACGGGAGGATCACTTGAGCCCAGGAGTTCGAGACCAGCCTGGGCAACATAGTGAGACTCTGTCTCAAAAAAATAAAATAAAAGGAAAATAAAAACTAAACATAGAATTACTGTTTGATCCAGCAATTCCACTTCTGGGTATAGACACAAAAGAATTGACAGCAGGGATGTGAACAGGTATTTGTACACAAGTTTATAGCAGCATTATCCCCAATAGCTAAAAGATGGAAACAACCCAAATGTTCATTACGGGACAAATGGATAAACAAAATGTGGTCTATACCTGCAGTAAAATAGTATTCAGCCTTAAAAAGAAATAAAATTCTGACATGCTACATCACAAACGAACCTTAAAGATACTATGGCTGAGTGAAATAAGCCAGACACAAAAAGACAAACACTGCATAATCTCACTTACATGAAATCCCCAGAGGGCTGGGGAGCTACATTCATTCGTTTATTCAAAATATATTTATTCTAAATGCAACGCAGTATCCTGGATTGTATGTGTATACTAGAATAGAAAAAGAACATCAGTGGGAAAACTGGTAAAATCCAAAAAATAAGCCAGTAAAGGAGATAAAATGAGACAACCGACAATACTTATTTAATCCAAAAAAGACAATAAAGGGTGAACAAAGAACAAATGGGACCTATAGAAAAAGAGCAAGATAGTATATTTAAGCTCAACCATATCAATAGTTGCATTAGATGTAAATGGGCTAGACACCTTAATTAAAGGGCAACGATTGTTAGATTTTTTTTTTAAATAACAACAAAAAAAAACCTACGTGCTGTCAGCCCCTTCTGTGGCTCTGTCCCAGACTTGCTAGAAGCAAAAGGATGAAATAATTATCTGTTGTATGATAAATTCAGCCTTTGAGCGGACATTCACTGGAAGTGACATCTTCTGGGAAGGCAGGCTTAGGCCTTATCCTGACATGCCGCAGTAGCGCTCTCAGCTCCTGGGACCTCATCTACAACACTGAGGCCCCCAGACCCAGGGACCTGCAGAGCCTTCAGTTACCCACACCTGCTGAAACATGGGAGGTCTAAGTGCTAAAGTCACTTTTATTATCTTCCTCCCTTCCGGGCCGGCCTTGTGCTGGAAAGAGCATGATGTGCGTATGTGAGAAACAAACTCACCCATCCACACCCAAAGAATGGACTCAGAGACCCGGAGAACAGCCAAAGTGAGACTTTCAATGATGGTCTTGCAAGACTGGGTGTCTAATGGGCTGGCACACCCAGCACAGTTTCAACAAGCAATTTATCCCCTGTGCGCAGGTCCCGCCCCCGGTTCCTCATAGGCTGAGTACTATGAGGTCACAACCTTCCTGGACGTCACCTATTGGTTGTTGGGTAGGGGCTTTATGTGTTTTCTTTAGGGTTGTCTTGTTGCATTTTGTTGCAATGCATTGCAATTCTAGTTAACTCAGGGGCTCTTCAGATATTTGACTTATGACCTAAGTAGCTGGGCGGGCTGGTAAGAACAGACCAAGCGAGCTATTTTGGAGGCTAGTAAGCTTTCATTTTAGACTAAACTTTGGTTCAGGTGAGGGCAACTAAGGGGCGGGGGATGGGGGTGACAAACAGGCATTGGCTATCCAAGCAGGGGCCTAGTATATCCTGTTGCTGCTGTAGTTTGCGGACCTAAGCTGATTTAAGGCACTTTGTCTTGGAAATGGACACTTTATGCATCATTTCCTTCGGGGTACCTCTGACACAGGAAGGAGAGCTTCCTCTTGGTTGGCATATTCCTGTTATAACCTCTTCAGACAGCCCTCGCTGTTCGGCAGGCCCTGGTGAGGCTTCAGGGTCCTGCCCATCTCCACCTGCTCTGGCCTTGCTGGCCAGGACTGGACTGCCCCTTGCAGGGGCACCTGCACCTCCTGGAGTTTCCTCTCTGAGATGTGCATCTCCGTGCACATCTCACCCCTCATTGACACCCTCCACCCCACCCCTGGGATGCTGCCTCCTGCTGTAGATGGTTCTGTCTGGGGCAGCTAGGAGGGTCAGGAAATTCTCAGAGGGTCTCCATTTCTGCGTTCATTTTGTTAGGTCCTCAGCCACTTGCAACGGGGACATAACACAGGGTCATGTCTGTACTAATGCCAATGACTTTGAAGCCTCTCTCTCTCTCTGGACTGTAGAACTATCCCTAAGGGGCCAGGTGTGGTGGCTCACACCTTGTAATCCCAGTGCTTTGGGAGGCCAAGGCAGGAGGATCACTTGAGGCCAGGAGTTCAAGACTGGCCTGAGCAACATAGCAAGACCCTATCTCTACCACAAAAAAGGTAAGAACTGGCCCTGAGGCAGGCCTACATTGTCAGAGGGGGCCCTGCTGGGAGAAGCAGCTCATGCGCCTCAGCCTGGCTGTCTGGGAGACGCTGCCTCTGCCTGACAATTTCCATCCCTTGGTTACTTTCAGTAATGCTTTGCTCAAAATTTGAGGATATTGGAAAGGCATTGCTGTATTTTTTAGTTTCTAAGAGTCACATTATTGATAGATCTGAAATCCAGATGCCTCTTACCCTCAGAGCATCATTTGCTGTGTCATGTTTTGTGTATTTCCTGAAAAGCAGTGTCAGTTTTGCAGCCTGTTAGAACTGAAGCAATAAGGGATCACCCAGAGGAGAGCTTTGGGCTGCTCCAGATGTGGCTGTTCTTGGCTCCCACAGACCCAGCAGAACATCCTCCCCAGCCTGTGCTCCCTGAGGGGCACCCCCTCCAGTGGAAGTGAGGGCAGCCACGCACCCCTGGGAATACCTTAGAGAGGGGCCAACTGCCATCGCTAGGGGCCTGACTCTGCAACTGTCCACACCTACGGGGAGTCCATCTGACAGATGAGGAAGCTGAGGCTCCAGGGCCCCTGGCTCCCACCCCTTCTGCGGGTCACTCGACTGCCCGGAGCCTGGTGGCCAACCTGCTGTGTCAGTTGCTTGGCAACGGACTCCTCTCCTGGCTCAGGGAGCGGTTCAGGCAGGCGTCCACCAGGTGGCAGCACTGGCACATTCTGCAGGCTGTTGGGGCTGAGCTCCATGTGGTAGTGTTCTGCGGGTAACCTGGGCCCCAGCCTATCCCCTCCCAACCCCTGCAGCCCCCGTCCTGCTCTGTCCGGCTTCCAACAGGCCACTCTCAGGCCTCCCAGCCTTTCTTCCACCGCGGCCCAGGCCATGACCTTGGCCTCAGCTCTGGGCCCTGCCCTGTCTGTCCTTCCTGGTGGTCAGGGTCTGGTTTACTGCCCTACCTAGGGGAACAGCAGCTGGGGCTAGGGGGCAGATGGCCACGTGGTCCAATGGTCTTCAAGGCTAGGGTGAAGCTGGGTAGGGTCAAAGGAAGAAAAGGTGGATCCCAATAGGGCAGGGCCAGCCAGGGCCTCCCATCTCCCCTCAGGCCAGGCCTCTGGAGATGGGGGAGGAACACCTTCCACAGGAGGCTGCCCCGGGGCACAGACCTGCAGACTCCTGCCTCAGCCCACCACACAGCCTGTCCCCAAACCTGCTGGAGTGGCGGTGCCCACCAGGAGCTGGGGAGGACCAGCTGCTCTGAGGATGCTGCTTCCCTCCTGGGACCCCCTACTCCCTCCCAAGGCCCCCCTCCTTCCCTGGCCACCCACTCCTCCACCCAGCAAAGTGAGTCAAAAACTTGAAAAGCAACTTTTATTGAAGAATTTGGAGGGAAAGTTTCATATTATAATAGTAAAAATACTAAAGTTTAATGTTGTAAAAAAACGCCGTGGTGCAGCAGCAGCGGCAGCATCTGGCCAGGAGGGCGTGGAGGGGCCCAGGGACGGCCACCCCCACAGCGAGTCAGGGAGGGCCTGGGGCGACAGCGGAAAGGTTGAGCATCGAAAAGGTCAAGTGCTACCGTGGAGAGATCATCTGAGGGGGAGGCTCCCGGTGGGACAGTCACCAAGAACCATGACACAGAAGGGGAAGCGGGAGGGCTTTCCTGTCACAAAGATTTTTTAAAACCCCCCAAATGCATTTGAACAACATAATACACAATAACAAATTTAAACCTTCTCCTCTGTCCCACTGGGTAAACCCTGGCCCATCCCCCATCCCTGGTCCCATCCCAGGGGCCCAGCCTGATGATGTCCTCAGAGACACAGCCTTAGTGCTGGGGGCTGCCGTGTGCCTGCCACCCTCAGGAGAGGGTGCCGGCCAGCATGCCATAGTGAGGTTGCATCTGGTGCCACAAGGTTGAACTGAGGCCCAGGGCCCCAGAGAGATGAAAGACAGCTGGTGACAGCCCAGGGCGCTGGCTGACAGAGTGAGGGGACGCAGCGGCAGGACCTGCCCGACCCCCAACGCCATATTGCGCATAGCTGCAGAAGTCCTTAACATTTCCCTACGTGAATCGGATTGTTCTGAGGGCTGAGGCCACGTCCAGAGAACAAACTGGATGAAATAAATTAAAACCCGCAGGACAATTTTCTTCCCTACCCCGCTGCGGGGGAGGGTGCTGCCCACAGCACCAAAACGTCTTTCCATCTGCGCTCGGAGGACGGCGTGGCTTCTCTCAAATGCACCCGAGAAATAAAAACCATTAAATACAGATCATGGCACGAGGCCGCCTCTCCATCCCTCCAAGCTGTTGTCCAGCGCAGTCCACTGCCAGCTCAGGCCGTGCCGCTGGCCGAGTAGGAGAACTGGGGGAAGTGGGGCCTGCGCTCGCTGTCCACGCACTCCATGCTGTCGTCTGTGGGTGTAGACAGCTCAGATCCGGGCGCCCCACCTCCCTGCCACCTCTACCCACCCACAGCTCCAGTAAGGAGGCAACCTCTTAAAACGCAGCCAGCACGCTGTCATGCCGCCAGGAAACTGAGGCAGGACCCCACAGACTGACACAAGGACCTGGGCCCTCAGGGCACTGCCTCCCACCCTCATCACTGGCACTCTCCAAAGGGAACCTTTTTAAATATTTGGATTTTAAAACATCTGAAACCAAAAAGGCTGAACACTGCAGGCCTCTGAGGGTGGAGAGAAAAGGGAGTGGGCGGGGGCAGGCACAGTGGCCCCTCACCTTGGTCAGGTGGTGTGATGGTGATCATCTGGGCCGTGAACTCCTCATCAAAATACCTGGTGTCGGTCTCCGATGTGACCTGGGGCTTGAAGGGTGGGCTGAGCTGCAGAGGTGGGCAGATGGGACAGTCACGAGCTTCGCTCCCTACTCCCAGCACACCCAGACCCTCAAAGCACCTGGATCTCTAAGGGGTCTCGAGGCAGCACTGATGTCAGAGAGCGGCAAGCCACCAGCCCCCCACGGAGGCAGCTCTGGGAGGGAGGGACATGAGGGGTGCAGGAGCACAGAGACACCCTCATCAGCTGAGACGCGAAGCTGCCCTCACAGCAGCCCAGCAGGCGACAGGAGGTAGTGCGGCCCAGCTCTTGAGACCCTCCCTGCTACCAGTAGGTGATGACTTTACTTTTGCTTTTTCTTTCTTGTTTTCTTATTTTTATTAGTCTTCTTGTAAATTGGGAAAGAGGGAGACTGTGGAACAGGGTGCACAGGATGAGCGCACCCTGCCTCCATGGCTCAGGGACTACAGGATCGCAGCGTCCTGGCATCTGGCTGCAGAGAGGACTCTCGATGACCCAGGATCAAGGGTGACTATAAGGCGATGTGCACATGTGAGGAGCTGCCAGAGAGCCCCTCAGGTCCCACAGTCAAGGATCCCCTCAAGCACTGCCCCACCTAAGTCTGGCCTGGGCACCAGCACTGTCCACTGTCAATTAGCAAGGTCTCTGGTCAAGGCCGGGCAGAGGCTGAGCGCTGCCCAGGCCCCCCATACCCTTGAAGGGCAGGGCAGGGCTGGAGGGTGGCAGGCCTCAGGGCAGGAACTGGGACCAGGGCCAGGGCACCCTGTGTTAATGGGAGGACAGGTGCCCAGCTGGGTCCCAGGGCTGCCCAGCCTGACCAGCTGCACATGGCCTAGGACAGGCATTCAGGGGAGGGGCAGGCTGGGAACTGGGCAGAAGCACACCTGGTGACAGGGCACCCAGCACCTCAGAGTGCAGGATTCTGAACCTAGCCGGCAGACCCCATCAGCCAGGGTGACGGCCAGGGCTCCTGAAAGATGAGCACCCAGGATGGTGACTCATGTAGACAGAGCTGCCTCCCTCCAGGGCGGACTCCCCCATGTGCCAGGAAAGTAGGTGCTGTCCCGTCCCTGCACAGCCAGAAAGTAGGGCTGGGCTCTCCTTGCAGCATAAAGGATTGAGATCAGACAACAGGAGGAACTGGTAGAGAGCAAGGGGCAGCACCCCTGGTCCACCGCCAGCCAGCCTTCACTGCACAGCATCAGGGAAGGGACCCCCAAGGCTGGCACTCAGAGTGTGACACATCTCTGAGGGGAGGAGGAAATGAGGAGGACCAGGCCAGTTTCCTGGAGGAAGCCAGCAGTGCCAGAGCTTCTGAGCAGCAGGCACTGAGGTTGGTGCAGCAAGGCCCTCCTTGTACCAGGACTGCAGCAGGCTCCCGAGGTGAGGGCGAGTGTGTGGGAAATCCGGCGAGTATGCCACGTGCATGCGTGAGTGTGGATATGCGGGAAGCAGCCGCACCTTCTTCTCATACACGTGCTGCCACACGATGCCGGCAAAGAAGCGATGCTGCATGATCTCCTTGGCGTCCTCAGAGCCCCCGCCAAGCCTGCGGGTAGCAAACAAGGCCACGGTGTCGGTACTGCCACCCGCCCAGGCCCCAGGCTCAGACCCCTTCCTCCTGTGATGTAGGGCCCGCCGGACAGGACGTTCTGGGGCCAGGGAGGGCAACCGGTGGTGCAGCATCCCTGAGCAGCTGTGGGGAGCAAAGCACCCCAGGGCTCACAGCAGGCAGGGGCTTCCTGAGTTGGGGGTGTGGGGGCTGCAGGGTTGGGGATGGAGGCCCAACTGACCCTGCCCTACCCAGCCACTCTGCCTGTGCCTGAGGCTTTGGGGATCAGCCCTGGCCAAGGACATCAAGCTCTGGCTATCAGTGTAGTCTGGGAGGTGCCAGGACCGCCTGGCACAGGGGCAGGTGCAGCCTGGGGGTGAGGGGATGGAGGAATAGCCTGCAGCCGGGATG